GGGTGAGAGGACTCACCAGAGAGAGTGGGGAGCAGAACAAGCAGATTCCCTGAAATACACTGCTGAGAGCAGCGGGCGAGGCAGAAGAGGTCTGCTGCTCCTTGTGGGTAGCTCTCTGGTCAGCCAGGGATCTAACTACTGCTGCAGTGCCTGTCCATAGCTTGATAGTGCTGTCTTTAACCTCTGCCCCAGCAGGGAGGCCCTCCAGCTTTTCTATTCTTTTCCTCCATCACTACACCTGCCCACTGTGGCTACAATCTCTGGGCCTAGGGCATCTACTCAGGTCCTCATTTCCCAGTCAGTGGAAAAGGAAGTAGAAAAGCAGAGGACACAGAGTCTCCACATTTTCTTTGTTTATTTATTTTTGCATAAACATTTTCTGTTTTAAGTAACTAATGACCTCTTGGAACCTGGAACATTACCAAGGAAAAAGAAAAATGCACACACAAATGAGCAGCTGTTTCAAGGACTGTAAAAAAAGGATGTTATCTCTGTTGTCCTCAATAAAAGTTCACATAAAATAGTGTTTGACATTATGAAAATATGACTTTTGGGGGGTGCGTATTCAGAAGTTAAAAATCTCAATGATTCTTCTTGTTCAAAGCTGGATTGAATGTTTTGAACCACTCAGAAGTCAGTTAGCTAACCTCCTACACTGAGAAAGTAATCATTCCAACATTGTCCCTACTGGATTTTCAAACACATATGATTCACAGATACCCTGTGACTGAAGAAAACTTCTGGGCCTCCCCTGGTGGCACAGGTGGTTGAGCACAGCGCTGTGAAGCTGTCCGCAGCCTCTGCAGTGTGGGTTCGATCCCCGCCGGTAGGCGAAGGTCCCACATGGCTCAGCAGACCTCTCCTGTTGCGCCCGCTGCTCCCCTCAGCAGTATACTTCGTCCGTCTGCTTGTTCTGCTCCCCACTCTGTCTCTGGTGAATTCTCTCACCCTCCTGTGCATCTGGCCTGTACCCCGGTTCTTGTATAAATAAATAAATAAATAAATAAATCTTAAAAAAAAAGATAGAAACTTCTCTCAAAAACCAAAATGCAAGATTATCTTATTAAGTTACATCTCCAGTTTATTTAAATATTTTGTTTTTGGTTAAACTCAAATGACATGCCCCAAACTCCCTTGTCTCCATAATTGCCCCACATATGATTTTAAGCATACAAGCATACAAGTAGATGTAATTAAAATTGCACAGAGTAACTGCTTTATATGTGCCCAGTATGAGAGATTTCTTTCTGCCCCTGTGATTGTCAGATTGGAACAAAACAGCAACTTTACAAGGATTAAAATAGAGATGTGATGCTAATTAGTTTTAAGATTGTAAGAAACTGACTTACATGATTATGGAAACCAAGAAGTTCTATGACATTCCACCTGCAAGTTGGAGATTCAGGGAAGTTGGTGATCCAAAGGCCCAAGAGCCAGGAGTGCTGAAGGTGTCAGCACCAGGCTGAGGGCAGGAGGAGACTGAAGACACAGCTCATATTCAGGCAGAGTCAATTGAACTTTCTTCCACCTTTTTGTTCTATCTACAAGCTCAATAGATCAGCTGTCGCAGTAACACATAAAATTAACCATCACATACTCACTCCTTTACTTCTTTCAGGTCTCTTTCCAAATATCTCAGAGAAGCCTTGCCTGTTCACACTCTAATTTCCTCATTTCACAATCTCGCTCCCTCTTTCTTTTTTTTTTTTTTTTTTTTTTTTTTTTATAGGTTTTTTTTTTTATAGAGGCATGTTTTATTTATTTATTTGTTTGTTTGTTTTGTTTATACATGCACTGGGTACAGTCAGAAGCGCGGGAGGGTGAGAGGATTCACCAGAGCCAGAGCGGGGAGCAGAGCAGGCAGAAGAACCGAAGTACACTGCTGAGGGGAGCAGCGGGCGGCAGGAGAGGTCTGCGCGCCATGTGGGACCCTCCTCCGGTGGCCGGGGAGCAGCCGGGGATCGAACCAGCGCCGCAGAGGCCGCGTGCAGCTTCGCAATCCAGCGCTCAACCGCTGCGCCACCGTGGAGGCCCTCGCTCCCTCTTTCTAACCTTATTTTTCTTCCTAACGTTTACTGATGAATGGCAGAACACATATTTGAGTATTTGCTTCTTTTCTGTTTCTACCAACTCGACTGTCACTGCCCTTAACTCTACTCTCCGCTGCATCACCAGCACCCAGAGTAGCCTGTTATGTGGTGGACATATAATCAATATATGATCATGCTTAACTGACCCTAAAATTGGAAAACAATATAAATTGTTCCTAGACTAGGAAAACAGCCACATTTGCTGTGTTTCTAGAACACAGCACTATTCTTTTCCAATCTAAAATATAGGTTAATATGATTCTATTTCTGAAGAGTTTTTAGGAACTAGCAATCTTTCTTTACATAGACAAGAGTGCCCTCTACTGAGCTCTTTTGTCTAATTTCTGAACTCGTTTTTAATGAGGCAAAGCACTATTATTACTGAATGTAAGGAAACTTACATACAGATAACTTCCATCCTTAATGCTTTAAAATAAAAATCTATTTCTAAAGTAACAGAAAGTAAGTTTTATGCTGTAGACTCATGTAGTTTTTTTTTTTAAACAATATTTACTATCCCAAATTTGATTTGAAACAGAGGTTTGGACTTTTAAGTCAAAGAGATGTTGTCAGTTATTAAATACTGTGTTTGAAGGAGAAATACTTATGGTTTTTGTTGTTCCTGCATATAAAAAATCAGTAATGTTCCCTGGATAGTGAAGCCTTTTGCAAAAAGAGCTAAAGAGAAGTGTATTTGATTTGCAAAAGGCTTTAGTAGGTTTTTATCCTTGTTGTACATATATATATATATATTAAAGATTTATATTTTATTTATACAATAGCTGGGGTACAGGCCAGAGGTGCGGGAAGTTGAGAGGATTCACCAGAGGCAGAGTGGGGAACAGAACAGGCAGATGGACCGAAAGCACTGCTAAGGGGAGCAGCAGGTGAGGCAGGAGAGGTCTGCCGCGCCTTGTGGGTATCTCCCTGGCTGGCCAGGAATAGAACCCATGCTGCAGAGGCTGCAGACAGCTTCACAGCACTGCGCTCAACCCGCTGCGCCACTGGGGAGGCCCAGCTGTATATTCTAATTACTAGTGAGCAAGGTGAGAGGGAACCTGGGACTCCCAAACCTGCACACTCTAAATGGGTTCTGCCATCCACAGCATAAAGACATACTCTTAATGTGTAAGGCCTTCAATATAAAATAACTTTAATACGATTAGAGTGTAATAAAGAGAAAAGAAAGAATATAGTCAAAAGTTTTCTTATGATAGAGTGTAATAAAGAGAAAAGAAAGAATATAGTTTAAAGTTTTCTCATGAAACATCCAAAGTTGCCCAAAGCAGGGACAATGAAGGCCAAAAGTTTGTCACAAGTCTAAGGTACCTTCTGGTGGGGACCCCTGTGAAAGGGGTAGAAGGGGCCAGACAAGTCTGGAAGGAAAAGAGCAAAATTAAAATAAAATACAAGTCAAAATAAAGGCTGCCGGGCCTCCCCTGGTGGCGCAGCGGTTGAGCGCTGGGCTGCAAAGATGCCTGCAGCCTCTGCAGCGCCTGTTCGATCCTCTGCCCCCGGTGAGGGTCCCACATGGCGCGACAGACCTCTCCTGCTGCGCCCGCTGCTCCCCTCAGCAGTGTATTCCATCAGTCTGCCTGTTCTGTTCCCCACTCTGGCTCTGGTGAATTCTCTCACCCTCCTGCGCTTCCAACTGTACCCAGTGCTTGTATAAATAAATAAGTAAATCTTTAAAAAAAATTATTAAAAAAAAAAGATAAAGGCTGTCGTTGTCGACCTCCCCACAGGTCTCTCACACATCTCTATGTCTCTTTCAAGTGTCTCCTTTTGTTAGGGGGGAAGGATGTCCTGAACGAACTCCACAAATAGGTTTTATGGACCTCACCTCCACCTCAGACCAAAGAGATCCAAGACAACAAGGACAACAAATCCCATAATGTCATTACCACCGAAGGGAGGATTGCTGGGAACTGAGGGTGGAGTTAAGCAGCCAGGCTTGGTATATAATCAGACATGTGGGCCTTGGGAGTCCTTGGTTTTTTGCTAACTTTCAGCATATTATTGGGGTTCCAGATCAGCAGAACTGGTAGGATGCATTCGCCAATTTCTCTCTCTCTTTTTCTCCCTGAGTTATTCATTTCCCCTTTTTGTAAATAAACCCTTTAATACCCTTTTTGTGTGTACCTACGGTTGAGTCTTATTATAAGTCCCTTTTAAGCACGTGGGTGAGGACCCATAGTCAGGCCAACCCATTTCACATTGGGTCTGCCCTGTATTAAAAGTCTCTTCTGACCCCAAGATGCTCCTAACTACTACCTGATTATTGTCCAACTCAAATGGATTTTTGTTCAATAAACTCAAAAATTTTAATATCCCTTAGCTTATCTTTTATTAGGATACAGGTTTCTTTCATATTCCCTAGAAAATGTTTAAGGCTTTTCTTAAGTATATAGCCATGGAAAAATTGTTTAATTTTGACTAGTTAATAAGGATGGCTTAAGAAATACTACATTCAGGGCCTCCCCGGTGGCATAAGGGGTTAAGACGCAACCTATGAAGCTATTTGCAGCCACTGCCACACGAGTTTGATCCCCAGTCAGGGAACTACCCACATGGTGCAGCAGACCTCTCCTGACTCGCCCACTGCTCCCCTCAGCAGTGTATTTCAGTCAATCTGCCTGCTCTGCTCCCCACTCTGTCTCTGATGAATTCTCTCATACCCCCACACCTCTGCCTGTACCCTAGTTCTTGTATGCATAAATAAATAAATCTTTTTTAAAAAAGAAATACTACATTGATTTTTTTGTGCATACAAGCATCTTAATTTGAAATTGAAAGCATAATTAACTCATCAAATCTGTCACAACAGAATGATAAAATGTTTCAACACAGAACTTTTCCAAAAAGGTTGATTTTAATGATAAAAGAGCAACAGTGAAAATTTTGGTACATATTTTTTATGATATAAGCATCTATTGTCAAATGATAGATGAATATATCTAAGTATATAAGAACACAGATTATTCATTCTGCTACATTTAAAAGCTTTCAAAGACCTTAAAGGCAAAAAAGGCAAAGTTTCTTTAAAAAATGGCACTTAGGGGTTAATGGCATCAAAGTCACATTTGTTAAAGAAGGGAAACAATAGCATACTTTTAAAGCCATGCAGTGTAAATCGTACAGCTGAGATATGATTGTTGTGAATACAACACAATTGTTTTGAATACAATATGTAGAAGAGAATAGACTTAAAGGTAGTATGGCCTTCTTCACTGGCATATTAAAGAACAAGTTTAGCTAATGATTCCACAATTATAAAATTTCCTGATGAATTGCCCTTGATTGTGCAATAACTTTTTCACCTTTAAAAGGTCATATGAAAAGCTGCACATCAGTTTCTAGACATTTAATATTGGTCTATAACAAAAGTTTGCTTTAGGTTATTTTAATATAATAAATCAGAAAAACTGAGCTTAAAAATGATTTCAAAACAATACTAGGCATTAAAAAATAGCCATAAGGTTGAGGGTAATTTTCTAAAGTGAAACATATAAAATTAGTTGCCCCAAACAGCAGTGGGACAACTGTCCCATAATCTTTGTTTTTTTCCTATAAAAATCAGTTTACTTCCTGCTGGAATTCCAGCCCAAGAACCAGCCTGTGAATGTGGGTGGTTCATAGCCCTGTTTTATGATGACAATTGGTGTCCTCTTGTCTCTTCCAGAAGGGTCTGTCTCGAGGTACATTTTGGCTAAAAAAAGTTGCAAAGACATATAAATTCAGTTAGTTTTTGATGTAACTAAAACAGCTATAAAATTAAGTTTTCCAATAAAAGCAATAAATCATATTTTTCCTTGCCCTCAAATAGCCAAATACTATTCATAAAGACAATTCCTTGTTGGGGTGTCCCATGGAATATTCCAGGGGAATCTCATTATTGTCTGAAAAATTTCCAAACACAAAGACATAATTCTCACAATTTTCAAAAAAAGAAAGAAATGTGCCAGAAAGAACAATATTTTTCAAAAGAAATTGAAATAAACATCTAGGCTATCACAGATAAGGAGGCATTATTATTTCTATAACAAAATAAGCACTTAAGTGGACTTAAAATTTTCAGAAGGAAATGATACAATTATATTCTAAATTAGGTACAAATTATATTTTATTTGTTGCTATCCTGAAATTTTTCCCTTATTAAAAAAAAAATTCTTGGGCCTCCCCCGTGGCGCAGCGGTTGAGCGCTGGGCTGCAAAGATGCCCGCAGCCTCTGCAGCACCAGTTCGATCCCCGGCCGGTGAGGGTACCACATGCTGCGCCGACCTCTCTTGCCGTGCCCGCTGCTCCCCTCAGCAGTGTATTTCATCAGTCTGCCTATTCTGCTCCCCGTTCTGGCCCTGGTGAATTCTCTCACCCTCCCGTGCTTCTGACTGTACCCAATGCTTGTATAAATAAATAAATAAATCTTAAAAAAAAATTCTCTTTAGTTCTGAAGATGACGGTTAAGATTGGTCCTAGTTTTTGATATGTAGTTTTTTTTTTAAATTTTTATTTTTATTTTTGTAGAACTGGGATGTAGGCTAGAGATGTGGGGGTGGGATGTGGGGACGGGTGAGAAAATTCACCAGAGATAGAGTGGGTAAGGAGAACAGGTGGATCTACTGAAATACACTGCTGAGGGGAGCAGCAGGAGAGACAGGAGAGGTCAGCTGTGCCATGTGGGTTACCTCCCTGGCTGGGGATTGAACTCAGGCTCCAGCATGATAGCACTGAGACTAAAGCCCTAGGCCACCAGGGAGGCCCCTCTGATGCATAGTTTTGGTGGGTGAGGTGAAAATGAGCTGTAAGGAACTTGGAAATAACTACCCAGGTTTACTGGCACAATCATCCCATGTGGTGGAGCTTACCAGACTTCACAGATTCTGTTCTCTCAACTTCATTGGCATCTTTGCCAATCCAAATAAAAATCTGAAAAATGAAACAATGGTAAGTAATGTCGGGGAGTGGGGACTCAGAGTCAGGCACTATGCAAAGTTCTTTCACAGATTATTCATTTAGTATTCACAACCCCCTCAGAGGTCAGGGATGTGGAAATGGAGGTGCTGAGCAGTTTAATCAGTCTCCCAATACTTACACTTAGGAGGAGACACCTACATTTACAGCCAGTCAGTCGACTTCACATTTCACACTCTGACCTTTTATGTGTATGTAGTATTTTTTTCTAGTTTATAAAGTGAACTTTCAAAAATTAACGCATTTGCTGTTTTTTTGCACTGGCCCCTGGGGTGTGTAAGGCAGTCACAATTCCCATTTGCTAGATGTGGCTCTAGATGTGGATCTAACAAATCCCCATTTGCTAGATGTGGGTGACCCCAGTCTAGACACAGAACTCTAGTTTGAGGGCACTCCAGAACCTCTTTAGGAGCCTCTAAATGATGCCTACTGTTCTGTAACATTTTGGTGCAAGTTCTACTATCCTTTAGCATTAAATACTGATTTTTAAAAACCCAGATAAAATTCTATGTTCTGCATGTGTCCTTCTCCTTGTGAATCTGTGTTGGGTACTTGAATGCTCACTAATTCTCCTGAATTGTCTTATATTTAAATCACTTTAAAATCACTTGTTGGCAGAGAAATTTTGGTCAAATTAGCTTTGATTGTATTCTGATTCATAGTGAAAGTGGTGAAATATTTTAACATTTGCTTGTAGGATACAGAATGAACCACAACAGAATAGTAATATAAATGAAAAAATGTGATTTAAAAAAATGAAATGTAGTATGGAGAATATTCTAAGTATCTATGACCACTAAAACAATAGAATGGCCTATAGGTGGGAATAATTAAATATTTCTAAATCAGGAAATGCAATTTTTTTTATAATTCTAAAATATACACAGGCGTTTTATTGACATGAGGTTTTAAACTTCATCTCTAGAAAGAAGTGATCAATTCATTTAGAAGAAAATCTGGAACTAGATAACCTATTCAAACACTGTAATTCTAAACCAAGAAACAATGGTGTAATGTAACAAAATAACTTTCCAGATAGGAACAGATGTATAAGTAACAATTTCTGTGGCTGATTCTAAGACTAGGCCTAAATCATACAGCATTTTACAAGTGTTCTTTATAATTAAATTCTTAACATATTTATTTCTCCCTTTCTCTACTGTCAGGTTATGCAGAGGTTTAACAAACACAAACTATCAGATGCTGAATGTCAAATAATCAGTATTAATCTTCTCCAAAATAAAGATAAATATTATATAATAGTAACCTATTTTACTGTGTAGATTCAAAACTATTCTGTATTTGTTTAACAGGGGAGGGGTCTCCTATGACTTCTTATCAAATTTCAAGAGAGATTCTGAATATTTTGGTCTCCCACATGGCACTGTACCCTAATTAATGCATTTATTATTTACATAACTAGGTGGATACATGAAAAGCTGGAGTGAATTTACAAGTAAATGAAAAATAAAAGATTTTCCTTTGTTTTGCCTAATAATATACAGTCAAATATGATAGCTGAGGGATTATTTTCACATTAAGAAATCAACTTGCCACATATATTGGTTTTATTTATTTATTTTTTTGCCACACTACATTGAGTCTCTTAACGCAGCCTAAGTCCATTTATTATTAGATTTGCTGTTTCTCAAAGTATATTCTGTCAGCTCCCAAACATAAGCACACTCTCTTGTTAGGAAAAAAATATGTTTTTACCTGTTCCCAAACATCTAGTAACATAACATCATCTTCGGCTAAATCGTCCTGTGTGAATTCTCCAGGAACCTCTTCAATCTGAAATGTATAAAAAAGGTTATGACCAAATAGTAGATACTTAGGATAAAAATGCCTTGTATTTTTTGGAGTACAGCAAAAATAAAATTTGGTAGTCATTTTTTTCTTCCTTTAAGATAATAAAGACTTGAGTAATTGTTCATCTGTTTAATTGAGTATCACAAACCAATGTAATCTTATTTAGTGATGGTAGAACTTAATAAAAACATTTGAATGCCACAGGTAGGTCACACATAGTCAATTTGACCACAGTTCTCTATAATTCCAATTCCTTTTGAAAAAATTATCTTTCTAGTCCCTAAAGACGTTTGAATTTATGGTCTGGGTATTAAATTTTCTCTCATTTTGTAGGTGAAGGTTATTTGAATAAAATTTGGTCATTTTATTAAATAGTCATTATAATAAATCAATAATTTTCAATAAACTAACATTATGACATAACATTCCATATTCAAGGTTGTGTTATTTTTTTTACTTTTTTTGTTTTAAAGATTTATTTATTTATACATACAAGAACTGGGGTGTAAGCCAGATGTGTTTATGGGGGAGAGAGGTTTCAGAAAAGAGAGTGGGGAGAAGAACAGGCAGATCTACTGAAAAACGCTGCTGAGGGGAGCAGCAGGAGAGGCAGGAGAGGTCTGCTGCCCCATGTGGGTTGCTCCCTGGGGGATCAAACTCATGCTGCAGTGGCTAGCAACAGCTTGAGAGCACTGTATGTAAACCTCTGTGCCACCAGGGAGGCCCTATTTTTTTTACTTTTTTTTTTCTTTTGTAACTGATTCATTTTAATTAATTTGATGTCCTCAGGTTTCATCCATGTAATAATATGTAATAACATGTAATAATATGTAATAGGAAATCCTATTTTTTTTTTACTTTTAATGGATTAAATTGCATTCTCTATAGTTAGCATTATAGAGAGTAATGGAGAGGGTTGGCTTAATGAATCCAATACTAGTAGGCATGTATTAATCTAAAGTTCAATCTTTTTAAAGAATCCTGAATGAAAGGCCTCCCCGGTGGCACAGAGGTTGAGTGCTGGGCTGCAAAGCTGCCTGCAGCCTCTGCAGCACTGGTTCGATCCCCGGCTACCGGTGAGGGACCCACATGGTGCGACAGACCTCTCCTGCCACACCTGCTGCTCCCCTCAGCAGTGTATTTCGTCAGTCTGCCTGTTCTGTTCCCTGCTCTGGTTCTGGTGAATTCTCTCACCCTCCCGTGCTCTGACTATACCCAGTGCTTGTATAAATAAATAAAAATAAGTCTTTAAAAAAAAATCCTGAATGAAAATGTCTTGAACCAAGGAAGATGTGGTAAGTTAGATTATCCTGTTCCTATTTCTCCACATCCTCTCTCTGCTATGTGATTTTTGCAGTGGCATTTGCAGCCTTGACCAGGTCATATTAGCAAAATGTGGCTCAGCAGGAACCATCTCGTGTCCTGGGCTCTTCCAACCTGTAGCCCACAGGAGAACCTCCCAGCTGAGCCCAGTCTCGGTAAACCTGTAGCCCTCTGGGCATGACAATACATGTTTGATGTGATCTAGGAGATTCTGAAATTGTCATATAAAAAATAAAAGCTAACATTTACAGATCGCAAAGAGTTGGTTCATATTACTTTCTTACAGATTATTTTTCTAATTACATAATGATTTGAAGGGGAAAAAAATCACTTACTTTGTGCTAGGCACTATTCTAATTCCTTATTTACAACTAATTTAATCTTCACCACAACCTGATGAAGTAGGTATTAGAATTTTCCCCATTTTACAGATGAGAAAACTATAGCACAGAGAGGGTAAGTAACCAGTCTGAAGCCACACAGCTAGAAAATAATATCACCAAGAAGTGATATCAAACACATGCAATTTACAGCAACATGGATGGAGCTGGAAGGGATCATGCTCAGCGAAATAAGAAAAAGAAAAATACCGGATGGTCTCACTCATAGCAGGAATCTAGAAAACCTAAATAAGGGACCAGAAAAAAAGAATAACTATAAGAAAGAAAAAATCAAAATCAACAAACAACTATGAACCAGAGACACACTATGGGGGAGGGGGGCAGGGAAAGGAGAGATTGGGGTCCAAATAAGGGGATTGCAATTGTATGGGGAATATAAAAATAAAATTTAAAAAAAAAAGTGATATCACACAAGCACATTGGTTCTAAGAGCTGTACTTTTAACCAATAGGCTCTGTTGCCCTTAGAATCTATCTACTACTTGCAAGATCAAACACCTGTTAGTGATGCCACTTTTCCTTAAATTGTGAAAGGGATAGAAGGGATTCCAAATATCAAAGAAGAAAATAAAAGCTTCAAAGGAAAATATGTGCATGATAAAAGACAAAGTTTTTTTTTTTATAAACCTTACTGAGAACAAAACCTAGGTACTCATTTTTGTAAAATATATCTTCACCAGAAATAAATGTATAATTTACAGCAACATTGATTTTAAAATAAGAATTTTAGAAAATAGAGAATTATATGTTGAAGAATAAGTTTTTTGGATGAAATATCAAATTAATAGTGAAAAGTATAAAACAGTAGGTATTTTTACAAGTTTATAAAAATAGGGATTTCCTGGTAAACAAGTAGTTAAGTTATAATGTACAACAACCAAATATTTGTCATCCAGTATTCAAATCATTTCTAGTTAAAAATCACTGATAAACCTCAAGTGTAGTTGGTATAAAAGTAAGTTTCTTCTTCAAAGCACTCTATTTCTAAAATGCAATGTACCTGGGAAAATACTTAGGAAATTTTCATGTGTATATATTAAAAAATAAAGTTTGAATTCACCAGGACATGGTAACCAAAGCTTTAGATCAATTTTATTTAAATAGAAAAGTTTCAAATTTCCTCTTTAAATGAAAAATTTACACAAATGTGTAGCACATTAAGTTGAGAAAAAAGATATTTTATGGGAGCTTGCAGCCCAGGATATTTCAGAACCCAGTACAAAATCTCTTTTACACAGATACTTTTACTTTGAAATGCCTAAAATTCAAAGTCTATAAATAAATGGAATAAAACAGTCCTGCTCATGTTAGTTAATTTGCAGGTGTACATAAAACTGTGATTTTTGCCCATAACCATAACATTCCCATATTATTTTTCAGTCAATATGATGAAACTTTTCCATTTTCACTTCAGTTTTACTTTAGGAAACTGAAGTGCAAAATTTAGTTTGACTAGAAACAACTTATTGTTGCCCACAAAAATGTATGAAATTATTACATTAGCTAATTTCATTACATACATAATCTTTCATCAACTACCATATGCTGATAGTGAATGCAAAGTATTTAAGAGTAGCTTGATTTAGGGCCTCCCTGGTGGTGCAGTGGGTTGAGCATAGCACTGTGAAGCTGTCTGCAGCCTCTGCAGCACAGGTTCGATTCCTGGCCAGCCAGGGAGATACCCACATGGTGTGGCAGACCTCTCCTGTCTCACCCGCTGCTCCCCTCAGCAGTGTATTTCATCAGTTTGCCTGTTCTGTTCCCCGCTCTGTCTGTGGTGAATCCTCTCACCCTCCCGTGCCTCTGGCCTTTACCCCAGTTCTTGTATAAAAATAAATCTTAAAAAAAAGAGTAGCTTGATTTATAGAGCATATTACAGTATTTCAATGCTTTCTCTTATATCATTGATTCTTAAAACAACCCTGTGTTGAGCAAAGATTATCATTGGTGTCTGGTAAGCAAGTTAAAACTGAGAATTGGAGCAGTGATATGGCTGAAAGTGGCAGAGACAACATGGGAAGCCTTCCTTCATTGCCCTTCAGTTTGGTCCAGTGTTCTGCATGACACTTACAATGAATCTTCCAGTTTTGTTAGAACAGCCATAAAGCCGAGGTGGATGGTCTTCAATCTGGGTTTCTAGTAGTGGAGAGGTCTGGTATTGTTTTTTTCCTCCAAGAGAATTCCAGAACTCCACTGTGGAAAACACACTGAGTTATCCAATGCATTTTCAGGAGCATGGAAGTTGGTATTGCTTTACATTACCAAATCACATCATCTCATTTTGACTTTTATTTTAAGAAATTACATAAAGTGGTAACACCCATTTTTGCAATTAATGCAAAAATTCTTAAGCTGCCACAACCATTACAAATTTACCATTTATGGGAAACATGAACAGCCTGATTAGTAATCATACCACATATAAGTTCTGGTTAGTGTGCTGGGCCCCACGGTACATACCTGGTTCCTTGCCTTCCTGAATCTTTGTGGTTTTACATTTAAGGACATTTGCCACATACTCTGCTCCTGTCTCCTCCTCCTTGCTAGCACCCTTTCCCATCCAGATGTAGCCATTGTTTTGTTGTGTTTTCAGGACAAAAACATCATTGGAATTCAATGAAATTGCATCAACATTTACCTAGAGTATGAAGAAAAACAAAACAATAACTCAAGTGCATTGCTCCTCCCTCAATAAACATGTTTCAGAAGCTATGACAGTGAATATCCATCTACAGCCCTATTTCCAAGAAATGAATTCAGGGTGGCCTGACGCTGTGACATAAGGAATATTAGAACAGGAGCACTTTGGTCTGTATCCACTGAGTGCTCAACTACTCACAGAGAGTAGCACAAAGCTCTAAGAATAAAATAAACAAACTTAAATGGTAAGTATCAAAGATAATATTCAAAGAGACCATAGAGGGGCCTCCCTGGTGGCACAAGGGGTTAAATCTCAGCAATACGAAGCTATCCGCAGCCACTGCAGTACTACTGGATCCCTGGCCAGGGAGCTGACCCACAAGGTGCAGCAGACCTCTCCTGTCTCAACCACTGCTCCCCTCAGCAGTGTATTTCAGTAGATCCACCTGTTCTGCTCCCCACTCTGTCTCTGGTGAATCCTCTCACCCCACTGCCCACACCTCTGACCTACTGTACCCCAGTTCTTGTATGCATAAATAAATCTTTCTTTTTTCTTTTTTTTAAAGATTTATTTATTTATGCATACAAGAACTGGGAGGTGCGGGGGGTAAGAGGATTCACCGAGAGACAGAGTGGGGGACAGAACAGGCAGACTGACTGAAAAACACTGCTGAGGGGAGCAGTGGGTGAGTCAGGAGAGGTCTGCTACTCCATGCTGGTAGCTCCTTCGCTGGCCGGGGATTGAACTCATGCTGCAGAGGCTGCAGATAGCTTCACAGTGCTGTGCTTATCTCCTTGCGCCACCAAGGAGGCCTTAAATAAATCTTTTTTTTTTTGTTTCAAGATTTATTTATTTTACACAAGAACCGGGGTACAGGCCAGATGTGCGGGAGGGTGAGAGGATTCACCAGAGACAGAACAGGCAGACTGACAAAATACACTGCTGAGGGGAGCAGCGGGCATGACAGGAGAGGTCTGCTGCGCCATGTGGGACCCTTGCCAGCTGGCTGGGATCGAACCAGCACTGCAGAGGCTGCCAATAGCTTCACAGCGTAGCGCTCAACTGCCTGCGCCACCAGGGGAGGCCTGAAATAAATCTTTATAAAAAAAAAATCCAAAGAGACCATAGAACAAGGATGGACTCTAAATGATTAATGGAAAGAGGGTGAGATGTTCACAAATGACCTCCACAAAGTAAAGATGTTCACAGTTTTCACTAAAATAAAGATGTTCCATCCACTAAAGATCAAGTTAAACAAATAATCAAAGGGGCACCTCAAAAACAGGGACTGGAATTTCACAAGGCATAGAGATAATTATATACATTCACCACAAGGTTCCCCAGACTCTGATAAATTATGGCTCAAATTCTAAAAGACAATCCAGAGGGCATTAAAAATATGGCACTGAATTCACCCTTCCTTTCAATCTTCTCGGTGGAAACTCTAGGTTCAGCTAGGAGAAAACAGTGCTTGTCCATGTGGCCACAGAGGAGTAAAGGGATCTGGCTGGGCCCAGACTCTGCCCTGAGGGGGATGCTAAAGGTAGAAACTCTGAGGGACAGGCAGGTGCAGAGTCATAGCCTTGGAAGTGAGTCTGATGGCACCAAGGTGGGTTTGTGTCTTGTGCTTTTGTGTCTAGTTGGTTTCTCTTGAGAACCTGTGTCTGTGACTGGCCATATGGTTGGGGTGACTGTGTTAATATGTTTGACTTTCTGCATGACTGTGGGACTCAATGTAAGATGTGATAACAGGGAGATGGGGAAGAACAAGTAAAGCAAGACTGAACAGAGCAGCTGTGAGAGAAGAAAATGTAGTGAGAAAAGAGAATGTGATGGTCTTGAGGTGTGAAGAACTGGTTTCAAGGGACTCCCTGGTGGTGTAAGGGGATAAGTCTCAGCACTATGAAGCAATCTGCAGCCACTGCAGCATTTTGAGTTTGTTCCCCGGCCACAGAGCTAACCCACAAGGCACAGTGGACCTCTCCTGCCTCGCCCTCTGCTCCCTTCAGCAGTGTATTTCAGTAGATCTGCCTGTTCTGCCCCCGCTCTGTCTCTGGTGAATCTTCTCACCCCCCACACTTCTCACCTCCGAACAAGAACCCCAGTTTTGTATGCATAAATAAACAAAAATAAATCTTAAAAAAATATGGGTTTCAAGAAGAAGGTAAATATCAGCTGTGCCAAAAGATGCTGCTTGGCCAACCACGTGGAGCTGCCAGATGAAGGTGCTGCTATGTGGAGAACTGGATTTCACCAATTCATCAGAACTCTGTCGCCAGGAGAGATCGAGTGCAGGAAGGAATGGCTGCTGTAAATTTTAACGATATATCCAGAAGGAGTTGGTCATATTCAGGAAAGTGGTGATCATCCTGTGTCAGTTAAAGTGAGGCCCCACTGACCAAGCTCAAAGGAATCCACCAGATGACAGGGAAGTACAGGAAATACGACTAGTTTTGAGTCCAAATGTCTGGTTATAGTATAGAGGAGAGAACGTGGATGATGGGGAGATAGGTGACAAGCCTGCCATGCCCTTGAAGGAGCAGTCATCCCAAGGTGTCCAGAACAGGCCCTGCCAAGATCTGCTCCTTTGGCATGCTGGTTATATTAAGCTGAGGGCACTCTAGATCTTACAGGCTCGCAAGAAACTTTAACCACTTTTTTTTTAACTATTTAGAAGCATGGACATTGGAGGTATTACCCAGTATTAGGATTTTGATTAGAAATAAACTCTATTGGAGAAACCAATTTAATGTCATGACAAACATCAAATTATAGAACATCTTGTCTTTTTCAAATGAGTCACCCTCACCTTTTCATGTGAGTCCTCTTTCTCCTCTCTACTCGAAGCCCTGCTATCTATGCCATTTCTTAGCTCAGGATACATATCCTCTTTTCCCCTCACTGAAATTGGAATACTTATTTCTACATAGAATCCCTGTATGTTCATAATTAATTTGGTCTTTTTCTCTTGCTAATTTGTCTGATATATATATTTTTAAAGATTTATTTATTATTTATTTATACAAGCACTGGGTGCAGTCAGAAGCACGGGAGGGTGAGAGAATTCACCAGAGCCAGAGCAGGGAGCAGAACAGGCAGACTGACGAAGTACACTGCTGAGGGGAGCAGCGGGCGGCAGGAGAGGTCTGCGCCCTATATGGGACCCTCACCCAGCAGCCGGGGATCAAACCGTCACTGCAGAGGCTGCGGGTAGCTTTGCAACCCAGCGCTCAACCGCTGAGCCACCAGGGAGGCCCTGTCTGTTATATTTTGAGTATTCCCTAGAGGTCTAGAGGGAAATTGTCCCTCTACCTTGCCTGGAATGGGATCAGGGACTTAGTTCCAAAACAACACTATAAAGCATTAGCTTCCTAGGAGATGAAAACGGAAAGCTTTATAAACAATGATTTTGACTAGTGAATTTCAAATAGACTAGAAATGAGAAGCCCAGCTGGAGAAGCTTCCAAGAAATGAAGGCAATGCATCACAAGTTTCTTAAAAGTCTCATAAAGATGAGCCCATGAGGGAGGAGACCAAGAAGGGAACAATTCTTTCTCCTCCATCTGAAATCAAGTGAAAGTGCCTGTCAATGGGAACTTAACTGTCAATCTGATAGGCTAAAGAAAATAGTAATAATTAAACACATGAGAATCTGCAGAGGGTCCTGGCCAAGATCAATGCAGATGCGGCATTTAACTGAGTGAGGTCCCTATCAAAAGCACCGATACTGATCCTAGGAGCATCAACGGCTTAAAGACAAGCAAAGGAGGATGATACAGAAAAACAGACGCTAGAAGAGTACCTCTACAAGTATGAAAGGAATTCTAATGAGTGTGGTGTTTCAGAAGCCTAGCTGGGAAAAAACAAAATAAAAACAAACAACAAAAAAACACCTTTTCAAGAAGATAAGGACAGGCCAACTATGGCAAATGTTATTGGGGGTGAGATCAGAGAAGAGACTTTTGACTGAGGTGAGTCATTAGCAAATTAGATAAAAACCACTTTTGTGGAAAGGACTCCTGGAGTGGGGTGGCTTTAGAGAGAACAGATTTAATTTTTTTTTAAAAGATTTATTTATTCATGCAGACAAGAACCAGGGTACAGGCCAGAGGCACGGGAGGGTGAGAGGATTCACAGCAGGGAACAGAACAGGCAGACTGACTGAAATACACTGCTGAGGGGAGCAGCAGGCGAGGCAGGAGAGGTCTGCCACACCATGTGGTATCTCCCTGGCCGGCCGGGATTGAACCTGCACTGCAGAGGCTGCGGACAGCTTCACAGCGATGCACTCAACTGCCTGCGCCACCAAGGAGGCCCAAGAGAGAACAGATTTAAAAAGTAGAAATGGTGAGTGACAGCAAAGGAAATTGTTTTAAGGATCTGTGCTCCAAAGCAGGACAGAGAATAATGTGGTAGCTGGGAGGGTCAGGAGACCAATTTTAAAGGATGGGAACTTTTTGAAGGCACATTTATATTTCAAAGTAAATGAACCAGGCTAGAAGAATAAACTGGTGATATAGGAGACCAAAGAGATTATTGCCTGCAATAATGAAGAACTGGACACAAGATTAGATTAAGGGACTGAGAGAAATCCAACAAAGACCTCAGAAAGGGCAGAGGGCAGGGGAACTGGGACAGAAGTTAAAGGGGACAGGAGAAATTTTTTTTTAGATAGCAGTCACATTTTATTTATTTCAGTAATAAGTATGTATCAAATTATTTACTAATATGTTTCTTTATAAAAACTGTCATTTATCAATTTATGCATACAAATATATTGATAATTAACTTATTTAGTACTTTACGTATAAAAACTATTTTAAAATACCTATTTTAAACATAAGTTATCAATGTACAACAGCTGGGAAGAAGAATATATATGTGCACAGATGCAGAAAAGTTGGTGAAAGAGGGGAGTAGGTTAGGGAAGGATTCTTGTGTGGCGACATTTCTGTTCTCTCTGAACTCTGAATCCGTAATCAGTTGAGAACAAGGCCCTTGGAGAGCTCGAGAGGTGGACATGACGGTGTGATGGATGGAGAGGGCTCATGGATTCAAATGTGAGACTGGATAATTGCTAGGAAGAGCATCCTTCAGTAAGGAGCCCCAGGATGGAGCATTTGAAACAGTCTTCTGAGATGCTATAGCTATTGCCTATGAGGTTTAGTGCAGGACCATGTGAGTATGAGATAAAATGAGATCAAGGGCAGAATTATTGGATGAGAAAAGTCACAGTGATAGAGTAGTGAGACAATGGCTGAAGCCTTAAAACAATGAGAGGGGAAGGACAGGCTGCAGAGCAGTGGACAGCCCAGGAGGCCCGGAGGAGTCTGACAAGAAGGGGAGAAGTCAAAGGAGCAAGAAGGATTTCCCATCCACCCTCACCCTTAGTAACTGGGCACTGGGGAGAACACAAGAGTTCTCCTAAGAGTCTAAGAGTCTGTATGAGAATCCGTGTCATCAGAAGACAGTACCGGATAGCAAAGAGGGGGAGGGAGCGAGCAACGTAGAAGGAGGTAGCAGGTGGAGGGATGAGATCACCGACTAGGTTTGAAAGGCTCAGCTGAATGATTTATGTAGAAGGGAAGGCTTGGCAGATGGAGTGAGGTTTGGGGATGTACAGGGCAGTAGGTACAGGGCAGTTTAGGGATGTCTTGGGAAATTTAAATTTCCATGGTGGCTCAGGCCGTAGGAATAAGAGGTGTGACCGACTGTCCTAGCAGTAGAAGCATTCAGGTGTCCTAGAGGAGGCAGGTCTACCTGCCTCCTCCATTCCAGGAGGTTTTCCTATCTTAACGACACTGTGATAAGGGGTTTGATTTCTTTCACAGTTGCTGTCAGGCACCTTATTTGGCCAGCTGAGTTATGGTTCTGGCCCAGTGTGGTGAAGGTTGCTTCCTACATTTGTTACACCTGCACAAACAAGGGCCTTTCTGCTCCGAGGGCGCCAGAGTTGCCCTGACCATTACCTGCCATCCATCTTCCTGCAGGCCATACAAGGTCGAGTTTGAGCCACCTGATGTATCTAACAGCTTTATTTGTCATATTATCCTTAAAATACATTTTTTTTTTATACAATGCATGTGAAAAATGTGTGAGGTCTAGTATCTGGCATTAACTTTTTTACTTGATTCTCCTGCTGTTAGTGTTTTCTGCTGTAAACACTGCCTTAATTATAGAAATGGAGGGAGGTTGCTTGCCAGATTTTAAAAGACTAATATTTGCTGATGGTTCAGGTCCACTGGGAAACCCATAAACAGGGCCTGCTTTATCAAATGCATGACATTACCTCCACGATTCTGGTGATGGAAGCCAGATTTCTCCGGACTTGAAAGAGGCGTGTAGGAGGAGCAGGTGCCTGACCAAATTTCTTTGATGTTCCATTCTTGTAAATAATGAGGGGCTTGTCTTTGAACAAACTCAGCAGGTGAGCCGGCTCCTTGCCTTGGGAGACTCGGACCTGGGAGTAGGGGGAGAAATGAAATTTAATAAAGAGTGCAATGAAAGACGATTGTATTTCCAAGGTTGTTCATATATTTCTTTTTGAAAGCAAAGCAAAAAGTGAAGGGCAGGAGAAATGATGATTAACAGAAAAATATAGGTTAATGATGATCAAGCTCAGTTTTCTCACTGTTTTAAGACTCATTTGTCACTGCAGACACAGCATCCTCTGAGCAGAGGAAACTCCACACCATCCTGGACAACTTTTTGCGTCCAGAAAGCATAAAGATATAAGTCTGCTCGCTTACATCTCCAAAAGTGAAAGAAGCAATGCTGATGTAGGCCGTTCTTTACTAAAATTATTCTTTGTTCAAAAGCACCAACACTGTACAGATGTTTAGGGATATACTTGCTTCTCATGTGTATTAGATCTTATTCAGAAGGTTAAGAGATGTGTGTTCAAATGCTTCCAAAAAAAAAAAGACAACAGAAAAGCATATTCTTTCTGTATTTTTTCTAGAACTGTAAGATGAAGAAATAATCATAGATCCATCTGGGATGGTTAAAAGAGTTTAATGTAAACATCAAAAACTGGCAAATATATATGGAATTTACTTTTTAATTTACCTGTAGAAATTGTAATAGATTTGCTTAATGATATAAACAATAAATAAAGGACTTTTCAGGATAAGGAAATAGAAGAAAATAAATGGTAAGGTGTTTAATCTCCCTTAACAGCTTAACACCTACTAAGACAAAATGCCTTTTGAGTCATAGCCCTAAGGCTTGAGGTGAGGTTAGTTGGGAGTACTTAAAACTATTATTGCCTTGTATTTCCCATAACGTTCAGAAAACATCAATCGCCAATGAAAGAGGAAGAGGGTCACTGACTAAACCCTCCCTGTACTGTTAAGTGAGAATAAAAGAAATGGTAAATTGAACAATTTTCAATACTGTTAATATGCTCTACAAAGGAATGTTTAAAACAGGAATAAAAATCTTTAAGAATTGTTGCAAACTACTGCCACCTAGTGGTTAAACTAAGCATTATCTTTCACGATCAATTTAGGTTTAAATGGCCAATTCATAGCAAATGGTTAACAACAAAATTTAGAATTTAGAAGGAAAAATGCCTATTTTCAAAGTCTTTGTATAATTTGCTAAGGAATACTTTAAAGAAAATTAAAACACATAGATAATGTCGGTTCATTTAGAAATAGTTCATTTAAGAAATTTATGTAATAGTTATTGGAGAAACAGTTTAGTGCATCTAAATAATTCAATAAGATGGACCTTCAAATTTATAATACATATAAACAAGTACCAAGATGGAAAGGAGACCAGTTAACCCTGCTTGTATTTCTGTTTTACTTATAAAAATCCTTGTGATTCTGCTGCATCCATAACCCCAGAATCTGCTTATTTTACAACCTGCTTATTTTACAACCTGCTGATCAGCAGCCTTATTTCTATTTCCAATCTTAATCCCCCTTCGTTTTGTGACATGCACAAGTCCCAACGATTAGACTACTTTGCAGGGATGGGAGTGAGGAAATTACTTTACCTACCTGTTTAACAATAGCTGAAAGTGGTAACTCAGGGAGCACAGTTTTAATGTCAAGTGACAGTCACTGATATATTATGCGATTCTAAAGGAAAAATTCTTTTGGGTTCTTAAATCTGTTAATAGTTCTTATTAAAAAAGATTTATTTATTTATGCATACAAGAGCCCGGGGTACAGGCCAGAGGTGCGGGAATGAGAGGATTCACCAGACACAAAGTGGGGAACAGAACAGGCAGACTGACTGAAATACACTGTTGAGGGGAGCAGCAGGCGAGACAGGAGAGGTCTGCTGTGCCATATGGGTATCTCCCTGGCCGGCCGGGGATCAAACTCATACTGCAGAGGCTGCAGATAGCTTCACAGTGCTGTGTTTAACTCCTTGTACCACCAGGGAGACCCTGTTAATAGTTATTTTTAAAAATTTTGTTTTTTTCCCTCTTGTTTAGAATCTGAAGAACTGCTATGGCATGAAAGTAGGAATATTTGAATTCCAAAATGAATAAAAGGTAATATCTAGAAAGTATTAAATTCCCATCCCAACTTGGGAGGAGAACTTTAAGTCAAAACTGGACTAGCAAAAAGTTAACTTGTATGACTTTGAGGGGTAAAAATATTCCAACCTGTACAGCCTGCCCTCCAAGGGTCCCATCCAACTGGACAGTCAGGAACGCAGATGCTGTCAGCTCATCTTGAGTGGCATGTGCCCCTTGCCTAGAGGAACCAAAGTAAGACAAATTAGCTTTTGTTTAAGTTTAAGACCTTCTAATGCGCTCACTTCAAGCAGAGACTTAAGTTACTATGAAAGGCCTAGAAGAAACCAATGGTTCAGCTACAGAGAAAGATAAAATCTTGCCATTGGTAATCACATGCGTGGACCTTGAGGCACTATGCTAAGTGAAGTATGTCAGAAGCATTAAGATAAACTATGATTTCACTCATATGTGGAATATAAAGAAACAAAACAAATGAACAAGCACAACAACAAACAAGTTTCGATCATAGCGACAGAGGAGAAAGGGAAAGAGAGTGGGAGGAACCGGGCGTCAATTGGATAGTTGTGGGTGGTAAGTAGACCTCTGGTCCTGGGAATGGTGTGGTATAAACATTTATTGAGGTGCGAAGTTGTACTCCTGAACTTACCAATAATGTAAAATAATAGTACTTCAATAAAAACAAACAAGAAGGAATCAATTGTTTAATATGATATGAGCAGGAGAAGCTATCAATGCTAGAAATACTGACAGTGTATTTGCATATGTGTTCCAAGTATATGTGGTAGGGATTTTTAACTATAGGTTTAAAAAAAAAAACACCCTGAGGTTTAGTTCCTTACTTAACTTAGCTATTTCAAGTTGGAGCAGCCTAGTTTTGGAAATGATCACCATAGCGAAAGTAATCCATCTGAATAGTAGAATACGAGTGAAATCTCTTAGGTTTGGAAAGCAGAGACATTTTATACATTATATCTTTTCATGAATATTTGATGAACACAGTACCAATGTCTGGATCCAGAAAAATCAAGAAAATAATCATCAGAAGGAGGCAATGTAGAGGCCCCACTTTATCATTCTAGCAATTCTTTAAATTACTCATAAAACTCTAAAAGAGGTTAAACTGTTAGTAACCCACATAATGGTCAATAAATTAGTTCTTCCAATTAATTTACATTCCCATTCAGGTAGTTTGTGTCCATAACTCCAATTACTAACTTAACCCTGTATATCAACTTGTGGGAAATCTACCTGTTTGATGAATCAGAGGGCTGGGGGTTGGGGCATTCAAAACATTGAACATTGTATTTAGCCAATTCTCTCATCTCTATTTGACTGGGGGCAGGAGAAGAATACAAATCTGGGAATTGGGTTTTGAAAGTTAACCAATCTTCTCTTGTGAAACCTTGAAAGCAATCTATCTATTCCATACCCAGAACAACTGAACAGTAATCTTCATCCTGGGCAACACACACCACATGATGTGCGTGCGCACATGCGCGCGCACACACACACACACACACACACACACACACACAAACCCTGGTCTTAATTGATCTCAGAATATTTCATTGCATTAGAAATAATTAAGTGATTCACATAAGCATATTCTACAGAGGAGTGTAACAATAAAACGGAAGGACATGGTCATGTGAGGCACACAAGCGAAAATAAAACATGATTTCCCTCATAAAACACCCATATGCTAGTCATATGCTGGAAATAAACATTCAACATGCACCTCTGATGCTAACAAACACTTCTGGGAGCCACTGGGAGTCCTGCTGGGGAGAAACTCAAAGCAGAGTCTTCTCCTCCTGTCATTCCTTCATCACACAGCCAGCAGCTTCCCGACTATTTCTCCAGAGGAAAAAAATTCAATCAACGAATGACAACATCCCCAAAGTTGATCTCCACTTTGCTTTTACTTTTTCCTAAAGAACACAAAAACACTAATTTGAAAGGAAACTTGCATTCCTATGTTTACTGAAGCAGTATTTACTATAGCCAAGCTATTGAAACAACTAAACAACCTAAGTTCCCCAAAACAGATGAGTGGATCAAGAAGATGTGGTATATGGAGTTACACAGGGATTAAAAAATATGAACTCATGTCATTGGTTGCAACAAAAATGGAGCTGGAAGGAATAATGCTAAGTGAAATAAGTCAGAAGGAGAGAAAGATAGATACTGGATAGTGTCACTTATATGTGGAATACAGAGAAACTAAGCAAAGTGTCAGACAAAGACAAATCTTTAAACCAGCCCTTTATAGTTGACCATAGAACAGAGATATCCAGAATGGGATGGGGAGAGAGAGGGACAAGATTGGGGGTAAGGAGGGAAAGCACAATGGACTATGGTGGAGGACTATGGGTGTTTGGTGGTGGGTACGCTATGGTGATTACACCTGAAGGGGGAGAGCCTATACTTCCAAAACATTAACAAGGATGTAAACCAATGGTACTTGAACAAAAAAAAAAAAAATAAGATTTATTTATTTATGCATACAAGAGCTGGGGTGCAGGCTAGAGGTGAGGGAGGTAAGAGTATTCACCAGAGAGAGGGTAGGGACCAGAACAGGCAGATCTACTGAAATAAACTGCGAGGAGGGCAGCAGATGAGACAGGCGAGGTCTGCCGCACCATGTGGGTCACTTCCCTGGCTGGGGATTGAACTCATGCTGCAGTCGCTATGGATAGCTTCATAGTGCTGCGACTTAACCCCTTACACCACCAGCGAAGCCCTCCAAAAATTTTTTTTAAATAATTATCAAAACTCTTAATAATACCTCATTATATATTTTTAACTCCTCTTTTTCTTGCTGTCAAAGTGACCCATGATCCCATCCACGCAGATTCTAACTAATTTGTTTTATGGAATTATGACTGAGGTCAAGACATAATAAAATGGCTCTTTGCCTAATTTTGGAATTCAATGCTTAGGAGAAAAAAAAAGAAATTTACTTTGACATGATCTCTTCTTTATAAACCTGTGGTGCTTGTTACTCTTTAAAAACAAATGCAGCCTGAAAATGGAATTTACTAATTCAAGAGATTCATCATATCACTGTTGATTGTTTGTTCAATTTCAATTACCTGACATTTCAGAGAAAAATCACACTGAAATTATTTGTCTCCAATCATTTTAGAAATAAAAAAGCTTCAGAAACAAAAAGACAAATTTGTGTATTCAACTACATATTTGTAGTTGATTTAATTCTACTCTTTCACATTTTAACTCTGTTTTTTGGATTTAACCTATTGATATTCCTGCATTGAAATAAAAAAGCTGCTTAAGGGCCTCCCTGGTGGTGCAAAGGGTTAAGAGACAACCTATGAAGCTGTCCACAGCCTCTGCAGCATGAGTTCGATCCCTGGCCAGGGAGCAACCCACATGGCGAAGCAGACCTCTCCTGACTTGCCCGCTGCTCCCCTCAGCAGTGTACTTCGGTCATTTGCCTGTTCTGTTCCCCACTCTGTCTCTGGGGAATCCTCTCACCTACCTCCCTTCCCATCTCTGGCCTGTACCCCGGGCTCTTGTATGCATAAATAAATAATTTTTTTTAAAAAAAAAAGCTGCTTGGGGCCTCCCCGGTGGCGCAGCAGTTGAGCTCTGGGTTGCGAAGCTGCCTGCAGCCTCTGCAGCGCTGGTTCGATCCCTGGCTGCTGGGTGAGGGTCCCACATGGCGCGCAGACCTCTCCTGCCGCCCGCTGCTCCCCTCAGCAATGTACTTCGCTCCTTCTGCCTGCTCTGCTCCCCGCTCTGGCTCTGGTGAATTCTCTCACCCTCCCACGCTTCTGACTGTACCCAGTGCTTGTATAAATAATAAATAAACAAATCTTTAAAAAAAATGCTGCTTAATTTGAAAGTCAGTCTTCAAAGAAGTGTGCTTCTTTTCTGAATCCCTCTTCACTAACTTTATGAAGTTTTTGAAGTTCTGAAAACCATACTTTAACATTGACAAATTTACATATTTAACATGTCATATTAAATGGCAATCGAAATACAAAGGACTCAAATGTCTAACTTATATCTTGATATCTTAAAAAATCATACATTCTTATAGAAAACCTGATACATCAAATTGGAAAGAAAAAATGAAAGAACCCCATTCCCAGTTCTATCCCTAAGAAAGGAACACGAACAACATAGCATATTCTTATCTTCTTTCTCCTTTTGAATTATTTTAGAGTGGCCACAAAACTTGACTCTTTCTGAGTTCCGTATCTTTTTGAAAGCAATTTTTAATTTACTCTACAAAAATTAGTTATAGGGGAACTTTACACGTTTGCAGACTGACGATCACAGATATAAATAAATTAATGTAAAAGTATAATTTGCTACTTAAGGAATTCTTATGTCAAAGATATAAAATTCAGAGGTAGAAAAAGCCTGCAAAGTATTTAGCTTATGCCTTTTTTAACACCAAATTCACTAGTTTCTAAAAGTGAGTGGGTAACAGAAAGGCCACTGATTTTCTTATCTTAGTGAATGAAACACTGCCTACTTGTATGCAGACCAGAATTTCTTGACCATCTTCTCTACTCCTCAGAACCAGTTTTTCAGATGTCAACTCCTTAATTACTTACAAATTTGTCTCATCCTTTCCAGATTGTTTCCCTTACACAAAATTCTGTTCCCATTGTCATTCAGTTGGATTATTGCAACAAATTCCCAATAGCCTCCCTGTCACCAGTCTTCTCCCACCAGCTCATTCTTTAAATGTCAACAGGAATAATTTCTCTAAAATGAAAACCAATCATGTCAGTCCTCTGTGTACTTTCACTGTTTTCAGATGTCCTGAAAATAAAGCCCATCCTCAGCATGGTTTGCAATTCCCAATTCTGCTTTTAATTTCTCAGAATTTGTCTTTTGCTCCCCTAACTTTGCTCCAGCCAAATATCATTACCAGTAGATAGGATTAGAACACACCTTTTTTTCTGCATTGCTTGGAACAGCTTATATATTAGTTTATCTGTCTAGCTCCCACTTTTCTCCTGTGTAGATGTCACTTTTAGGAGTCCTTCTACCCCAAAAGCCAAAAGTGGGCTTGAGTGTCCATGAACAAGTCCTCAAAGATCACCAAGCTTGGTCTAATCTTAAAATTTTTTTATAGTTCACTGAAATGCCTGCTAGTCGTTTGCTTCTCTTTAAAGTATAAGTTATTGGGGCATAGGTTATATGTATACATATATCACTACTGTATTTCCAGCATGAGAAGTGTTTGCATATAGAAAGTGCGTGATAAATACTTTCAAATGATTTAAGGAATGGTACCACATTTATTTATTTTTTTAAGATTTATTTTATTTATTTATGCATACAAGAACTGGGGTGTAGACCAGAGATGGGGGCGGTGAGAGGATTCACCAGAGACAGGGTGAGGAGCAGAACAGGCAGATCTACTGAAATACACTGCTGAGGGGAGCAGCTGATGAAAAAAGACAAGGTCTGCTGCCCCATGTGAGTCAGCTCCCTGGCCAAGGGATTGGCTGATGACAGCTTGATCGCACTGAGACTTTAACCCGTGCACCACCGGGGAGGCCTGGTACCGCATTTAAAACTTATAACCTGATTTAGTCTATCTTAATCACATCCACAGAGTTATTATATGGATTGAATATTTGTTAATTCCTCCAAATAGTCTCTTAATTGCTTGTTTTTTGTTTGACTTAAATGCCACAATCAATATTATTTTTATATACAAGAGCATTAAGAGGAAGAACTTGAAATAAAATGTAAAAGAAGTTAACTGGAAATAAGAATTTATCCCTATAAATACCATGTTTTACACACTTTCCTGACTTAAAAGTTTTACAAACAGAAATTGCAAAATGAGAACATCATATCTGAACTCATGGTATAGACATAGTCAGAACTTAGAGCTGAAAAGAGCTATGGAACAAGATTTGAAATATTGTTTCATTAGTTACAAGGGTTACTTACTATCTGATTTTCCCTCTCCTTTATTACTTTTTTTTTTAATATCCTAGCTGTGAAGTGAGATAATATATGGAAACATTTAGCACTTTGCTGGCACAAACATGTCACTCAAAAATGGTTGCTATGAAGACAGTCTTTTAAACACTAGCAAAACAGCTAGAGACAGTAATCTCTGAAAAGCTATGGTGTGACCATGGGATCAGGAATACCCCTGGGACATGGTTCTCATTAGGACTCAGTGTACATTAGAATCTCACCTCAGAGTCTGATTTATTTGATACGGGGTGAGGGCCTGGCATTTGAATTTGTGAAAATTGTCCAGTTTATTATGCGCAGCTAGTGTTTGGAACCACTGCCTAAGGCAACGTCTGTCAATCATTACCGTGCTTATGAATCACCTAGAGATCTTGTTAAAATCCAGGTTCTGCTTTAGTGGGTAAAGGTAGGGCCTGAGAGTCTACATTTTAACCAGTTTCCAGGTGATGCTGAGGCTTCTGGTATCACTTTAGGTGGTAAGAGCATATGGAATAGGGATAATCACCCCATCTCCTGAATTTGGGCTCAACACACTGGTCAGTGTTAGTGGGAAATGATCACACTGGGGGGACAGCGGTGGCTCTGTTACGTGGTGGAATGTAGTACATCACTACACCCAGTGCAGGCTGCCATCACCACGTAGGACCCTGCTCTGACCTTGCACCTTCCACCTATACCTTTTAGCTTTAACACCATTTCAGAAAATTCTTTTTTTTTCCCACCCTTCTAGAATAGTCTTTTAAAATATTCTATTTTATCTGATTTCACTTAATAAAAAGTCAAAGAACCTCACATTATATAATTTGTTGCAGGATCCCTATCCTTTTGGAATAGCCCAGCATGGTGTTTGTTTGTACTTAACTTACTTGGTCAGAGATTCATGGTTGAGCAGAGTTTGGCACTGACTCAAAGCCAACAACCTAAACTAACTCAAGTCACTGGGCAAAAACCACAAAAGGTGTGGATACACTGGAATTTTTTCTGCATTACTGCTATGAATTTCACGGGGACAAAGAATAAAGATACATCAACTTGAGGTCTCAGGAGTATGAAGCAGAATCCCAGATTACATCCCTAGAGTCTTGTCTTACTGCAACTTTGCTGCCCCAATCAAGATGAGCTTCTGTGAATTTCATTTAATTTACTTATTTATTCATTCACTCATTCAGTTTTAGAACATGTTTATTACTCTAATGAGAAACCACATGCCTATTTAATATTAAACCCCATTTCTAGTATTGCTTTATTATTTTTTGCTTCATCTAGTATATCTCTTACTTATTCATTTTTTATTTTTATTGAAGTAACACTGCTTTATGACATTATTTAAGTTTTAAGTGTACAACATTATAAACCAATCTCTGTACATTCTACATTATGATCCTTACCAAAAACTGAGTTTCTATCCATCACCACACAACCGACTCCCTCCCTTACCAGATTTGTATACCCTTGTTCTCCCCACCCCTTCCTTTGTGTTGATGACCATTTTGTTTTCATAATCTAGGAGTCTGGTTTACTCTGTTTGTTCATTTGTTTTACATCTTTTTTGTGAATTTTAACAATAAGTCAGTATGGCACCCAACACTAGCCAGTTGTAGCTTGCATAGGAGATGATGCATTGAACATATTCACTGAGAACACTATTTTTAGGCTATTTGAACTTTTTGTCTAGACCAGAAAACAAGATCTTTCTTTAATCCCTCCTGTTTAAGGACAGAAGCTGCAAAATAGAGTTAAATCATAGCAAAAAGAAATAACACATGCATGCAGTGCAAACCTCACAAATACTGTATACCCCAATATAGGATTATTCCACCCCAGAACACATGGAGTTTAATTGAATTTAACTTTGGAGCAGCATCTGGCCCCTAAGTTCTTTCAAAAGAGGGAAACTTACCAGGTGTAGATAATCTGTCCTCTGGGATAAGTGTACAGTATAATGTAGCAGTCACCCCCATAGAATTCGCCGTATGAGTTTTGGTCAATTGGGATCCTACCATTGTTTTCTACACGCCAAATCTTAAAGAAATGCAATAAGTATACCATATTAAAATTTTCTTGCTCTAACACTTCTCATAGGTTTTTAAAATTTTTGGTTTAGACCTATCATTAAACAGCTTTTAAATTATTTTTCTAATTAGTTTACAAGTCAAGCAACAGGAAGAAATTTTATCAAGTTTAGCAATTTGTTTATTGACTTTTTAATGTTTATGTTTCCTTTGCATCCTCCACAATACTTAACTCAGTTATGAGTCTTCTGATTAAGAAATACTTATTGTTTGACTGATAAAGTGAAAAGCACAACTCTCTATTGGAATAACAGCAAAATATTTAACTCAGAAGTATATCTCTTAACTTACATAAAAATTTTCATAAGTCGGGAGATGAATTTTTTTGTTTTCCTCCCATGCTTTAAAGCATCAAGGTTATTGATTTCATAGGCAAGTGTTGGTAGAAGTTGACTGAAATTAAAGATGCAAATTGAGTGAATTTTACTTTCAAAAGGTGCCATCTAGAGGTAAGACTGAAAAGATAAAAGAAGGGAAAACTAGTTTTTTTCCTATTTCCTCATTCTTATTACAGATTAAAGATACTGCAAGTTGGAGAGATGAGAACTGTAGATGAATAGGAAAATAACATATGAATGAGAGATTGCCAGGCACTGTACACACACATACTCACACACACACACATACCAGGCATTGTATACACATACACATTCCCTCCATACCCAGGCACTGTACACACGTATACCTCTCAGGCACTGTACATACATACACACTCTCCCCTAGACAGTTTACACACACCTACACCAGGCATTGTAAACACACACACACACACACACACACACACACCCTGTCTAGGTCATGAGATTATAGGAGAGATGCTTTGTTTGAAATTTGGAGATGATTAAGAGGAAAAGAGCAGTGTGAACTTTTCAGAGGGAACTCTTCCCACATCCCCTGGGTGAGGAGAAGTGACAGAGCAGCACTAAACCAAGGAGTCTGGAGAGATTTCAGGAGCCTTAGGGAGGCCCTAGAGGATATCTCAGAGGGGCTGTGGCTTGCCATGGAGACTGCAGCTGAGACACAGCTGAGGCTGGGGACTCAGATCTGCTACAAGGGCACTGTGGCTCTGCAGATCTGGAGAAAGATGGTCAAACAGGAGATGAACTCAGCCCCCGCAGTCAACACCCCCTTCACAAAGGCTATGAGGGACATCTGAACCTTTCTGCCTTTTCCCTTGGACTTACACTGCCTATTTTTTAAAAAAAGGAAAAATTCCTTCCTAAATTTCTTGTTGCGAGCATTGCGCCAAGTCCCGGGAACAGAGATAAAATACTCAATACCTATCTTCAAGGAACTAAAAGGAAGCCTTGGAGGAAAAAATTGTAAGTAAATGAACAATTCTATGATACATATAGAAGTTCAATGAAAAATATTAGTGATTGTTTGAGCGCAGAGAACAGTCATTTCAGTGTGGAAAGAAGGCGTTTTAGAAGATATGCAGCATGTGACCTGAGCTACAAAGGAAGAGTGGGGGTTTCAGACGGTGGAGGACAGAGCCCTCAAGGCTGTGGAAGGGTGACGGACACAGGAGAACAAGGATCAGATCATGGAAGGCCTCGTGGGCCCAGCTGAATAAGGATGGTCTCAGGAAGTGTGTAGGGATCCATTAAAACATTCCTGAAATGAAAGTAATATCACCCAATTCTCTTTAAGTTAGGTAATTTGAGAAGAGGTTTTAGTGAAGGAGGATGATTAGGGGGGGTTTAGCAATTGTTGTCAATAAAAAGAGTAATAACAAAATTCAAAGCATGTAAGACATGCCCAATTTGCTTTGTGAATGACTCAAAGGTAGAAGTGGAACTGTGGATAAATGATTAAATTGTTATTAAACTCTAGGGTCTCTCCTGGTGGTGCAGTGGTTGAGCGCTGGGCTGAGAAGCTGCCCGCAGCCTCTGCAGTGCCAGTTCCATCCCAGGCCTCCCGTGAGGGTCCCACATGGCGCGCAGACCTCTCCTGTCTGGCCCGCTGCTCCCCTCAGCAGTGTATTTCGTCAGTCTGCCTGTTCTGTTCCCCACTCTGGCTCTGTTGAATTCTCTCACCCTCCCGCGCTTCTGACTGTACCCAGTGCTTCCATAAATAAATAAATCAATCTTTAAAAAAAAAATTGTTTTTAAACTCTAGAGCACAAAAGTAGTGGAGGGCGGGGGAGTATCTTTCTCTTTAAAGTTTGTATTCACAGATTGCAGTTTATTTCCAGATGGCCCATTCTGAGCTAGTAGAAGTGACCAACTTTGAACTGAGTCCCAGATTGGCTTGAGCCAAGAAACTGCCAACACAGAGCAAAGGGGCAATCCAGCAGTGAGGGGCCCACAATTCAAAGCTCCAGTTTTCTGAAGAAAAACTTGTTCCTACTTCTTGGGCAGTTCATACACTACTTCTTGTATGAACTGCCCTATAACTAGCAAATGAACTTCAGTCAAGTCCACATTTCTTTGTCCTTAGCCCACTCCTAGCCCAATAAAATAGAAGTCCCTTGTTATCCATCCTGACCCCCAAAGCTCATATAGCTTCACGCCCTTTCTTAATCAAAGAGGCAGAATTGAGTTTATCTTGTCTCTTTGCCAACTGATTTGCAGTGGAGTTTTTTTCTTTTCTCACAACACTGGAGCAATAATAATCTGGTCTATGCATTTTGGTAGTGAGCCCATTACTTGATAATGGGAGGGACATTTAGATAACACACTCTCACTGGAAAATCCCAGTTCAGAGAGCAGAAATTTTGGACCAGGAAACAAAGTAGCTGGATTCCACACTCTGTCTCTAAAATTATAAATGGGTGATCGTGGACAAACCAACCACCTAACTTCTTAGAATCTCATCAGGTACATCTGTAAGAGGGCAACTGGAAGTCAGACATCTTTCAGCTTTAAGTTCCCTGATTTAATATTCCTGTATATTAAAGATGGGGTGATTTTTCATTTATTTTTTTTAAGATTTATTTTTATTTATTTATACAAGCACTGGGTATAGTCAGAAGCACGGGTGGGTGAGAGAATTTACCAGAGCCAGGGCAGGAAGCAGAGCAGGCAGAAGGACCGAAGTACACTGCTGAGGGGAGCAGCGGGCGGCAGGAGAGGTCTGCGCGCCATGTGGGACCCTCCTCCAGTGGCCGGGGAGCAGCCCGGGATCAAACCGGTGCTGTAGAGGCTGCGGGCAGCTTCGCAACCCAGCGCTCAACTGCTGCACCACCGGGGAGGCCCAGATGGGGTGATTTTTTAAATTAAGTAAAATTCACCTACTTTACAAAATTTGTAATTTCCTGAATCCTATTTGCACATATATTGTCAATAAATGGGCTTGATAAAAACAAAGAAAAACAGTCCCTACCTCTACTTTGCCAGAACCATCATCCACCATGTGGTGCTGGGCAGCCATCTGTGGGGAAATGTGTAATTTTGAGGCATCAAATGGAATTTGTTTTATTTGAGCCACTTTCTCTGTGACATACACTTTTCCAAAGCCATCACTCTGATCTTTATCTCTCCAGTCCTTAAAGAACTGTTTGAAGACTGGGGTTTCCCCTCCTTCTGGAAGAACTTGAATCTGAAATTTAAAAAATAAGAATTATTACAACCAAGAAAATGAGACAGGAAAACAATCTAGTAGTGGAGGGAAACAAAAAACAAGAAAAAAAAATCCTGATTTCTATGATAACGTGTAAACTTAGAAGCTGGGATCCTTAAGTAAATACCAAAGAGAAGATTATTTAATATGATGTTAACCAACCTAATCCTGCTTTTTCTTACAACTAAAGTAATTGCCACTGAATTTGGGTGTTGGAAGGAGAAAAAGAAGGTGGGTTATTTTATTTAAAGGCAATGAGGGGAAATGGGTGTGTTCGTATTCTCATCAGGCAGGACTGCTCTCTCGCTTCTGCAAATTTCCATCCTCTCCACTGATCTAGTTTCAGGGACATATGACACAATATAACACACCCCAGTGAAGAATGACTTCAAATTGCACACATGTCAAATTCTTTCATGAGTTTTGTGAGGAAGTCATGAGCTCTCCTGCTTAATTTTTTTTTCTAGTTATTTCATTTCCACACATACTTGGGTACTGGAGGAATAATTCATTTGCCGTAGGAATTCTTCAGCTGTCTTCATTGCAACCTTTCTCTCTTGGGGATTAGCATCTTTACCTAAAATACAAGACAAATTAAAGAGAAACAAAATTTCAGAGAGGGAAGGGAAATGATTAAATGATTCATGCAAACCAGAAGTAAATGATTAAAGTTTTATTAAAATTGAAATTTTATTAAAATTGAAAGACAAAAATTTCCTAGCAATTTAAATATATTTAATAAATAGTAATATATGCTACAGTAATAATGTATAAATATATATGTATATATACACATACCCATATTTAAAAATTCTTCCTTATAGTACTTTCTTTAACCCCCAAATCCCGGAAAAATGATACTAGTAAAAGAAAACATGGTTTTGATGCCTGCATTTTATAAGAGCTATTTACAGATCAAGTCTCAGAAAGGAAAGCATTTTCTAAATTACAAAAGACATTGTGTTTACCCTCTAGAGATATATCTACAAATCTGAAGTACAGCAAGAATTTCAATGACATATTTTACCTTTCCATACAAAAATTTGTTTTGGACCATGGTCCAAAATAAAACATTCTTCAGAAAGCAGCATTGCCATTGAGAAAGGGTTTTCTTCCGCCACCACAGTCACTTTCATGGATCCACTGGCATCTGACACCTAATATAAAAACCATGAGCTTGTTTGGGGATAAAGATCTTCTAAAATAAGATAATAGTGATGGTTGCCCAACTCTGTATGTGTTATAAAAACTACTGGATTTTACACTTTAAATGCATAAACTTTATGGTATATGAATTATATCTCAACAAAACTGTTTCAAAGAAAATAAACGAGAAATTCATTACCCTAATTACCCCTTAAGGGATTAAGTTGTTTGGGATAAAAGAACTACTGATACAGTGAAGTTTGACACTGTGCCTAAAACATCAGAAAATAATAGTGATAACAAAATGATAGTTTGCTGAAAACCTCATATGCACTGGGTACCGTGCAGTGAACTTTATATGACTATTTCTCATTTTTTACAACAATCTCTTCAAATAAGTAATAATCTTCAACTCACTGTACACACACACACACACACACACACAAAATTAAAGCTTAAACATTTCATTCAGTTAACATTTATTGGGACCCTACCATATGTATGCACTGTGCTAAGGCAAAGATACATTACGGTTTATGCTTATAGATATTTTTCAGTATAGGTCCTGCAGTTTAGATACAATTTGTATATAGTATCAAAGTAAATTTCATCTGTCACAAATAAATGGTTATTCACCTAGATGCTTGGGGTTTGGAAATGACTACAGAATTTTTTTTAAGAGTTGTAGATGGTCTTACAAAATTAAAAATGCTCTTCATGCACAAGTTAGAATTAATCATTTCTCAGAGGCCTGCTTATAGGTTACAACATAATAACCTGGGCACTTGTTTATTTTCAAAATGGCTTTCTGCTTTAAATGGTCTGTGCAATACATCACACGTCCACTAGAGGGAAAGATGCTTCAGTATTAACATTTACATCCTGAAATCTTTCTTTAGTGCAAGAGGGAGAAAAATTTCAGCGAATGATGCCACATAAATGATATTTGTTAAGCTGTTTTTAAAATGGGTTTTAGAGTAATTAAAAAAAAAAAAAACAGGAGCCATGAAATCTCTATAGCAGTTTCTGTAAGGCATGTATTGAATTTACTAGTATTTTAGCAGCAAGGAAGCCACACTTTTCTTTGCCATCTAGGAAGAAAGGAATTCACTTCCCCTTTATAAAAAGAAAGTTCCACTCTACAAGTTAGCAATTTAATCTTCATTAAAAATCACAACGTTTATGGGCTAGACAGACAGTCCCTTAAAGAGCAGCAAATATTAACTCCTTCCTGTAAGAGATGAGAAAACAATTCATTTCTGCTAGGAGATCACCACATACTCCAAACCATGAGTTTGGAAAGTTACAAGAGGGAGAATGCTTGAAGGATCCTATCCAGGCAGTCTCCTCAGCTGGTGTATCTTGGGGCTTTTGTTTCCTTCACCAGCACTAAAATCACACAATTGTGGAATTGGGAGAGACCTGAATAATTCTCTAATGTAATCTCTTTTTTTGTCTCTCAGATAAGAAAACTAAGATCCAGGGCCTCCCTGGTGGCGCAGGTGGTTAAGCGCCGCACTGTGAAACTGTTCGCAGCCTCTGCAGCGCAGGTTCAATCCCGGCCTCCTGGTGAGAATCCCACATGGTGTAGCAGACCTCCTGTCTCGCCTGCTGCTCCCCTCAGCAGTGTATTTTGTCAGTCTGCTTCTGTTCCCCACTCTGTCTCTGGTGAATCCTCTCCCCCTCCCGTGCATCTGGCCTGTACCCCACCACTTGCATAAATTAAAAAAAAAAAAATCTTAAAAAAAAGAAAACTAAGATCCAAAGTGGCTATGTCTTGCCCAGACCACACACTCAGAGTTGTTACGGAACTAGGTTGGCCAATGCCCAGCACAGGGCTGTTTTTACCCTGTTTCCCTCACTGTTTGTTTTGATAGCTTTGCCCTCCTGTAACAAAGAAAGCCTTCATTATGACTAAGTAAATTATTTTAAATAAGGGGAAGGTTTTAAAAGATTATCAAGATTTCATAAGAAAAAAACTTACAAAATTTATTTTTACCCTCTAAGGAAATATTTTATTGAATGTAACACATCAGAACATATTGTTGCAAACTTGTAAAGCAACAATATGTAATTTTTTAAAAAAAGATTTATTTATGCATATAAGAACTGGGGTACAGGCCAGAGGTGCAGGCGGGGAGAGGATTCACCAGAGACAGAGTGGGGAGCAGACTGAAATACACTGCTGCGGGGAGCAGTGGGCGAGACAGGAGAGGTCTGCTACGCCATGTGGGTCACTTCCCTGGCTGGGGATCGAACTCGTGGTGCAGTGGCTGAGGATTCCTTCATAGTGCTGATGCTTTACCCCTTGCGCCACCAGGGAGTCCAACAATATGTAATTTTGTTTGCTTGAAGCAATTACTTCACTTACTTGTTTTTAATAAAAATAACTCGGACCTCCCGGGTGGTGCAGGTCGTTGAGCACAGAGCTTTGGAGCTGTCCGCAGCCTCTGCAGTGCCGGTTTGATCCCTGCCGGCCTGGAGCAACCCAGATGGTGAGCAGACCTCTCCTGTCTCGCCCACTGCTCCCCTCAGCAGTATATTTCGTCAGTCTACCTGTTGTGTTCTCTGCTTTATCTCTGGTGAATCCTTGCACCCTCCCAGACCATCTGGCCTGTACCCCGGTTCTTGTATATATAAAAAATAAATCTTAAAAAAACATAACTCAAGTAATAGAAAGAGTAATTTTAACAATCACAGTAGAGCAAAGAATGGGTTATAGTCAAACATTTCTCTTTGAGGATAATAAGATTTAATAACTGTAGAAAAGAGATTCTCTCCTAGTAGTGGCCTCCCCAACTACATCCACTCCAGTAAAAATAACAAAACTCACTAGCAGTAAACTCACCATGTAGAGTTTAGCAATTTTCCTGTTATTTATGTCTGCTATGATGTCGTCATCATCATCTCCATCTCTAAGTTCTGGCTTATTTCCTAAAACCTGGAGGAAAAGTGAACAACAGATTAAATATAATGACCTCTCTTTTTTTAAGGAAAAAAAAAAAAGTAAACCATCTTATAATTCAAAATACATGTTGTAAAATGTTTGCAATTAGAAATAACCAGATTGAAATTTTTCTCAACAATTCATACTACATTGGCCTTTTCCCATATGTTAAGTCAATGGCATTAAATAAACACTGAATTTCCTGGTGATACTAACTTCCAAGAAAGTGAAACCTTCAACTTGAAAGCTTAAGGTTCCACTTATTGAAAAGTAGCAGTAATTAATGAAAATACTAAGTTCAGTTCTGCGACATAATTTCTTCTGTGAGTCTCTACTTCTAGAAGCAATCTATAAACTTTATCAATCTATTAATACAAAAGCTTAGATCAAAATCACAATTAGCAGATAGGTTTCATTATTGACATTTTACAGGCTAAAGTTGCAAGTTCCCCTCATTTATACTTTTGTAATACTATTGCAATCAGGACAGTAGAACCTGAAATAAGCAGTTTGTGTTAAGGACATATCTAAAACGAGGAACTCTCTCGGTAAGTCAAGCGAGTCTGGGTTTCGGGAATCTGGGGTTTAGGGAAACTTCTAATTTTCAGACTATTCCCATATTGGCTATAGATCTTAATTAGCTTCTCACAGGAATACAGCACTGTTAGAAACTGAACCCAGAGGGTCTGTAAGAAACAGGATTAATGCATGTGATACAAAGATGCTGCATAGTTTCAGTTATCTCTAAGGATCATTTTAAAATTCAATTCAACAATTAAGCGTTTACCAAAATCTTCACTGAGCTATGAAGTGATTTCTAGCCACCTTGCCTAGTCTTTAGGGACTTTACATTCTTCTCAAAGGAGGAAAATAATTAAATATGTATCAAATGTGTCATTCATTTTGATGTGTAAATACAGCTTTTCTTTTTCTTTACATGTAGGATCATGCCTAAATTTAAAACACTCATATTAGGCTTCTGAGTGACAAGCATTTAGTTCATCTAATCCCTTCTGTGTGGAATAACATGTTTTGATAATTTCAAAAGGAAGGGCAACGGAGAAGCCTTATCTGAGGGTGTTCCATAAAACTTTATCTCTTGTTCTACCCAAGATTCAAGTGTGGACTGTTCCTTTCCTTCCATTATTTTCTTTAAGTTTCCACTTGAAATATCACCTTCTTCTAGCAAGCCCCAAACTGAACCTATCTTTCCACATGACTGGCCATTCTCAACTGCCCATTTGTGCCAATGAATCTCTTTCTTCCTAGTCACCTGAACTTAAAATCATGTGGTCAGTTTTGAATATTCCTCCACTTTGAATCTCCCACACAATCATTAAATTCTATTTCTTTATGAAAATGTTTGAGTCATGGACTCCTATCTTTTCTTTTATTCACACCTTTCAAGGTCTTGAAGACCTTCAAAACTCTAGTCAGGGTCTATCTTTTCCTGTCAATTTCCTCCTGCCTTCAGTGTCAGCTCATCATTTCATCTAAATAGTTTCTCTGAACAATGGTTGGAAAGTTCCTTATTGCACTTTATTCATATGTTTCAAGAATATGACTCTGGATAAAGATTTAGAGCTCACATCTGTAGCAATGGTTCATAAAATTCAATCTGAACTTTAAGTTCAATGTACTTAAGCAATTCTGAGCAACTTAATAAATACAGATTTCCAACTTCAGTTACGAAGCCAATAGGTTTGGGGTGAGGTCTGGGGAGCTGCATTCTAGATTATTCTGATTCAGTTGTTTTCTGTCCAGAGTCCAAACTCCTCTGGCTGAATTTCAAGGTTTCTGGACATTATCTACCCATGTTGTTTCTCAGCATTTTCTACCTGATACTATTTTCTAAACAGACTGATGGTTTGGTGTCCCCATTGGGAACCATGCACCTTTCTTCCCCAAAGGTTTTACTTAATGGTTGACTGGAAGTGGCAGAGGAAAAACTGAGTAATTAAGTCTTTAGGTGGCTCAGTTAATTATAATCAGTGCAGTAATAGTTACCAGCTATTGAATGTCTGCTATGAGCCATACACTGTATCAGGTGCTTTAGACACCTATAATATCATCCTAATAAGAGCCCATGTGCTAGAGAGTATTATAATTTAAGGATTGTCACTGATACTCACAGAGGTTATGAGCTGATAAGTGTCATTATGTGCCATATGACACACTTGAAACATTTTATTTAACAGATCTTTGATATGGCTAAAGGTCAGACACCATTTAAAGCATCTTATATTTAAGTCATTTTATCTTCATAACAACCTTACAAGCTGGCACTGTTGTGATCTCATTTTATAGCTGTAGAAATAGGTTAAGTTGTTAGCACAAAGTCACGCATGACTAGTAAGGGACAAATTCAGGATTTGAACTCTGCCTCCAGAGTGTTTGTTCTTAACTAATATGCTGTGCTGCCTCTTGTAGACACTTCAAAAGGTCTTCACTTCATTGTGTTGGCCTTGTCTCTGGAGATAAAGCAGAAACTGCTTCAGGGAGAGAAAATGTTGAGATTAGTGTTCTCACTCTGATCAGACCAACACAAGTAAATCTATTATGCAGCTACTTTTGCTATGGTGAGAGTGTTCTGAGCAAAAAAAGAAAAAAAAAAGTGTTCTGCCTCCCTCTTTGCAGAGCTCCATTTTCACCTTTCTCCAAATCCTCTCTTTCTATTCTTTCTTCGGGGTTCTGCCTATTCTATGGACATTAAAGGCTGCAAGGGAATTCTTTCATCAGATCAGTGTTGTGTGAAGAAATAGCTCTTTAAAGATGTTCAACCAAAGAGCTACCAAAAATGTAAAGAAAAATATTTCTTTACCCAGGATATTGTCAGAGGTTAAGAGAAAACTAATAATCCAGTATTGGAAAAGATTCGTATTCTACTAGTCAGTGTCCGGTGAGAAAGAAAATTTTTGAAAGTGATTAAGAGTAGGTAACAGAAATCTTAAAAACTAGTATTGCTCAAAAACAATTTAATCAGTTTCCCTTCCCCTTTCTGCCTGCCATCAGTCCTGATGCATACAATAATCATTCATTCATTATTCAGGGATCACAGTCAATGTTTAGATGTAAAATGATTATAAATATGTGGAGGAGGTGAGCCTGGCTCCTTACTGTCACTGATGCCCGTTCTAGACATTCTAATCAAAGTCATATGTTAATGTGAAGACCAAGAAGGGCCCAGTGGATTTTAGTTAGGAAATAAGTGGTTCTAAAGATCACAGCTCTGTCTTGATAAATATATGAATAGAAAAATGGAAATAGTTGTATCTTTTCCTCTGCTTTGTGGAGACATTTAGCAACTACTCCAACTATATTGAAGTTGGAAATTTGTGGTAATACGATTTTATTTTGTCTGTATAGACCTCTTATTTGTTTACTCTGTCTTCAACAGTTCAAATCAAAATAAGCAGAGGAAATTTACAATAAATCATTAAAGCAAAGAGACAATCTAGTTTGCTTTAGAATTACAATCCCTTAGCTTCAGAAGCTCCATGTTCTTGTGACCTGTGTCAAGACTTCTTGGTGTTTGTTTCTTCTTACGACCAAGTGTGGTTTTTCTTTTAAAATATAACTAGGCCTATGTGTAAATGTGTTTTTCAGAAAGTAAGACCAGGTAGTCAAGAGAGTCTGCTGTATCCCCACAGTCCTTATTGAATTTTTACATTTGTATCTGTCTTTATTTTGAAGCTCTTAGTCACTCCCTCCCCCAAGTTTGATGTGAAATTCCAATGTTTACAATCTTGCTATTCAAGATGTTTTCCTTTCTTTATCTTTATTGGAAAAAAACAGTCAAGTTGCTCAAAGACTTTATAGTAAGTATTTGAAGTAAGTAACAGAAAAAGAGGGGATAATATGTGGCCTAACGGAAGGACAATACATAACTCAAAATTACAGATTACTTTGGATGAAAATGTTCCAGGTTTTTATCAAGTTATAAAATTTAACCTTTAATTTAGAGGGTCTTAGATACTTCTGAACTCTGATTTCAACTTGATATATTAGGAAAATGAGGCTGAGAAAATTTAGGAACTTTGCTTATACCCACGATAGAAATGCAGAAGCAACATGTAAACCTCAGGACTTCTACTGCAATAATCTATACAGATAATGAGACGTCACCTTCTTCTTACCTTAATCATTGTAGTGTGAGCACCTCTGCTCCAATTTTCACTAAATGCACTGTAAGTTCCCAGGTTCTAAGATGTAACATTTTATTTTTTTTTAAGATTTATTTATTTATTTATACAAGCACTGGGTAAAGTCAGAGCATGGCAGAGAGAGAGAATTCACCAGAGCCAGAGCGGGGAACAGAACAGGCAGACTGACAAAATACACTGTTGAGGAGGGCAGTGGGCACAGCAGGAGAGGTCTGCGTGCCATGTGGGGCCCTCGCCAGGGGCTGGGGATCAAACCAGAGCTGCAGAGGCTGCGGGCAGCTCCGCAGCCCAGCGCTCAACTGTTGCACCACCAGGGGAGGCCCAGATCTAACATTTTAATTAGTAATTGTTGTGTCTTACTTCTTTTCCTTAACTGGATGTGTAATCAGTAGATGGCCAGCATATGGCAAATAGAAGTAAATTGTAAAAGAGAAATATAGCCTTGTTGTTATGGTGTATTTACTTACTTTGAGGCATTTTATGCCTTAGGTAAGACAAATATTTGATAATAGGGAAGATACACAGAGATGAAAATGACAAGCAATTCCAAGGAAAGCTGCAACCTCATTTAATCAGCTTCACCTAAGCTGGATATGAAAATTCAACATTTGCTTTCCTGTTCTCTCAGTGATATGCTGCCCTGCCTCTAAAATACTTTCCTTCCTTTATTGATATACCAAATAAAGGGAAATTTAATACAGCAAATAGTGGGATAGGTATTTTGGACTAAGCAAAAGCATTTGAAATAGATGTTTGGGTAAAAGGAAAAAGTAAATTGAGTATCTGCAAGATACTTATCTAGCTCAGTGCTGCCAAATAGAACTTCTGCAA